AATCATTAAGGGCACTTCAGTTATCTTAAGTTTTCAGCAAAATTATCTCATCTTCAAAGAAGCATATTTCTTTAAAGTGAAAACCTATGTGCCTTTAAATAAATGTGCCTCTGAGTAAAATATATATCTGTATTTCTAAATTTGTAAACGCAATCTCCTGATTTTCTAAATACTTAGATATTCTGGGTTTTATTTACTCTTTAATCAATTAGTTAATTAGTGACAGTATCTTTAATTTCTAGGAGGTTGGGTTTGTTATTGATTTATTTCAAGTTCAGTAAAAGGGCATTTTCTTTGTACTAAACAATGTAATCTTTATTCAACTATTTCAATTACAGTATTATAATTCTCCATGTAATTAACTATTTTTCCTATTTTAGCAAAAACTGACAGTGTAACATAATCATTCACAAGAATTGTTTATATATGTCTTCCCTGTATTTTCAAGACTGTTTTCATTAGTTACCATATGACCATTGTACTACTCATCAATATAAAAAAGTTTCTCAATGCCTCTTTGAAAGATTATTCCTTTGAATTCAGTTTGCCTGAAATTGGCATTTTCCGTTATTTTATTTCTTTTTCTTATGAGTTCCTCTTCTTTTATTATCATCATATTATTTTAAGCTTTATCTGTTAGGGATATTTCTTGTAAGCAACAGTTAACAATGTGTATTACAGTCACTTCACATCTTTCCCACATTGAACTTTTTCTATCATTCTTCTGAAACAAGCATTGTTTTTCAAATGAGAGTGTAAGTGGATATTTTTGCTGAAGTCTACAGTCAAACTGCCCTGTTAAAACCCAAGTTACCACAGCAAGCAGACTGCTGGACTGGAGGAATACCTTTACACCATCTTGAGCTTTCCTAACACTTGGATCAGATAGCATGATTATAGACAGTAGTGTGCGGCTCTCTGGTCTGCCTGGCACTCCTACTTATTTTTTACTTATGGGGACATTTCTTGGATGTAGTATACCTTGCCTGTCTTCTGTTCCCATTACTTCTTGTCCTGTGGTGTCATAGGGTTGCTCTCCCTGATAGAGGTCAGAAGCGGAAGGAGTATCTGGCAGGGCTCTTTCCTCCTTTACCTGTGAAGAAGGAAGGAAGGAAGGAAGGAAAGAGGGAGGGAGGAATGGGGAGAAGGGTAGAAAAAAGGAAAGAAAGAAAGAAAGAAAGAAAGAAAGAAAGAAAGAAAGAAAGAAAGAAAGAGAGAGGAAGAAAGAGAGAAAGAAGAGAGAGAGAGTAGCTACCAATATTGCACCTAGACCTGACCTTGATTTCTGTGGAGAAGCATGTTCTGATTACCTCCTATTTGTCCTATTGGTGAGGAAGGTACTCTGCACCCCCCTCCAACAACTAGTCCATAGGCTTCCACTGTCTTTTTGTCTCTACCATGACCATGGTAACTTAAGATAAATAGAAATATTTCATTTAGTATCTATAAAGTCTAATACTTCTGAGTAATTACTGTCAGCATGTCCCTTACTAATCCGTGAACTTTTTCTCATAAGTAACTTGGGATGTGCACTTCCTGGTACAAGAAAATCCACCCCCACAAATTCAAACAAACAAATAAATCAAGTTGAGCAAGAGCTATCTGGAGGAATTCTGAACAAAGTCAAATATTTTGTGACTGCTCTATTACTCCAGTGGTCTAAGGCTCATTACTGACTAGTTGGTTACAATATTAAGGTAGAAAACCAGAGCTCACTGTGTGCATTAGCAATGTCATATAATGGAGGAGCCACCAAACTCTGTAGCCGGCACATTTTCTCTCCTGTTGTTAACCTTTCTGCTTACACAAGCTGAGTTCTGGAGTTTAGTATGCCCCATTCTAGACCTAAAGCCTGCACTTTGTCTCCTTCTGCAAGGATGCTCCTGATTTCCATCGGCCACTAGAAATGTCAGATGAAAAATGGCACGAATGTGAATTACAACAATAAAAGTTTATAAGCTACTAAAATAAAGTTATAGTACCTAAGAGCTGAGTCAACTGACAATGTTAAATGAAACATTTTACAACCAGTCCTAGGATAATGATTTTTAAAAATGGCACACAGAGCATGAAGAAATATCTGACAGGAAACAAGCCCAAGATCAAGCTCAAGTGACCTGATTTTGGTGAGCTACCTCTAAAAAGGGCAGGAGGAGGTGATGATCTAATGTTTCTGCTCTGTGCCCAGCCTTTGGCAGCTATTATTTCTTTTACTTCTCATTACAATTTAGCGAGGGTGGCATCATTGTCATTATGTGGGGGGAGGAGAGACTGAGGTGCAAGTGGTCCAGTTATTTGCCCAATAACAAAACTGTTCAATAAGGGAAGCAGAATTGGACTTAAATAGTATGTCTGCCTCAAAGCCCATGTTCTTTCTAGACTTTTCTATATCAAATTTGCTCCTTTACCAAGTCAGGTAACTCTATCTGGGTCAAGCAGTTTTTAGGTTTCATGAAGAATCTCTCTGTCCAACTTGATGCTGGTATTTGTCCCATTCTATCAACTCGGGTGATGATTCTCTTTACCCTGGGGTTCACCATGTAAGTTAGCTGTACAGAAAATGTCAATTTATAGTTAAATAACGCAGAAAATATTGCATTAAAAGGAGACCAGTATTATGAAGAAAGTTGAACACTCAAAATGATATTTAAGAAGGAATACAGGGAGTTATCAGGAATTTGAATAGGTGAAAAGGCAATCTTTCATTTTATTTTTTAAATTGCCCCAATCTAATGTTTTTCATAGGCCTTCAAATTTCCACTACCTTTCTCTAACCTTTTCAGCACAACAACCCCGTTCTGTCACCTCACATCCCCACAAACCGAGTCACAGTGCTTTTCATTTGTGCTAACCACAGTATCCCCAATGACAGACACAAGAACACCGCACACCCAGGGGACCTACCGCTGTCTCCTCAAAGACTGGTATTTGCTGTAATTGCACAATCTCTTAGAAATATTATGTTTTACCTTTAAAGATCTTACAAAATTTATATTCTTCTCCCTCATCTGACTATGTTATAATATAAAGATAGTCTTTTCAATTACTTCTTATGGGCCAAAATTCATGCTGCGAGAAGAATTAATGTCATGTTAATTCTGAGGCTTCACATACTCCTTGCAAACTCCTGTTACTCTAGCAGAGAAACATGGTGATAAAATGGTATAATCGCATGACGTGCAAAGTGCTGATGTGAAATGAAAAGGACAGAAATACCATTGGGATATTAATTCAAGAAAAAAAAGAAAATAGGACTATTTGAATAGGCTTAGCAGGATGATTTAATTCTTTCTGAAAATAAGTGGGCTGTTATCCAACCTTATCTTGACCTCCATCACAATTCTCTACAGTCAAATTATAACCAAATATTTAGTTCCTATACACATACACGTAGACTACACAATATCCAGTAGACAGACAGATAGACAGACAAACAGATAGAGAAACCCTCAGTGAATCTGCTCATTTAAACTTCAGGTGAAGGCATCATGTCAACATAGCCATAAAATGAAAAATTTCCTTTGTAATATATGCAAATTAACAAAATGAGGTAGAACTTCCAAAGTATCTCTGAATTCAGTACCAACTTTTATTTATGGGTCCAAGACTACAATGGACACAAGATAATTTTCATGCTTGAGCCACAGTAATGGTTACTGGGAAGTTAAATGACAGAAGAACAGCTTCCCACGGGAAGTGGCATAATTAGTCATAGCTATCGTACTTATGCACTTGCTGACTATCAGCCTTGAACAGAGTGTTCCATTCAAACCCCACTTGAAAATATGCACGGTCAAGGGAGAAGCCAAGAAACACTTTCTAGTTCCCAAAGCAACCCACAGCCCATTTGGCTAGGATGCCACTGAAGATCAGTGCTACTGGCACAGAGTCTGAGTGCTCTGGTCCCGAATTCATCTTTACAGCCCATTGTAGGAGCTCCTCCTTGAAAAAGGCAAGAAAATGCCAAAACATTGGCATTTGAAGGTTCAGAGATGATTAGTTTCTGTTCTCATATGCATAACATTTTCTGGAAATATTCTACTCACTCAGAACTGCAGTTGAATTAAGTTCTCTCCATAAAGACATGGTTTTTTCCTTTTAAACATTCTATAATACTAGATATCTGCAGTATGTCTGGCAATACTAGATACCACCACTGTTTTTGTAGTACTGTTTAAAACTAAGGGTTGCATATATTATATACAATGCATTATAGTTTGTATAATAATTGGATCATAATACCTCAAAACCCACTGAACAAAATTGAGTATGTGTATAGATAGATGTAGATATAGATATGAAAAAAAGGAAAATCATGGAAAAGATCCAAAGAAAAAGTAAAAACTTAGGAGTGAATTAAACTGCCTTGAATCCTGAATAATTCCATCTGTCCTCAGTTTGATATCACAAGGAAATGGGGACCCTTTATTAGAGGATGTTAAATGGAATTATTCACCAGGCCAAAAGAAAATATTTATGTCAGAGATTGGAGCAATTTACCAATAGGAGCAGTGACATTATCATAAGATAACCCTGCATTTATCTAAGTTTTCAAAATAACCTAATAGCTGTCATCTACATGTATTATCTCAATTACATTGCAATTAGTATGTGCAACAGATTATCCAATGATGGAAAATATTTTTCATTCATTCAGTAACATGTTTACCAAACAACTCCCAGATTCCAGGCACTACTCTAAGTACTAGATGTATAAGAATAAATAAGACAAACATTGTTCCTACAGATTAATAGCATAATCAGGATAACTTTCACACCCAGCTGAAGTTTTTCCATCTCTAAATATTTGGGATACTTTGCTTATCGTTTTCCTGGCAATCAGAGAACTAAATGAATTTTAACAATGAAGTTTTAGATGAGCTTTTTTGCTTGGAAGACATTATTGAAGCGAATAAAGCTCTGTGAATTGGGAAATGGTAAAACAGTCACAGAAACGTATATCTCTGCTGTTGAATGACAATTACATTTGTTCCAAACAGGCAATTGGTTTCCAAACACATTAAACAAAGGCAGTTTAGAAACCTTCTTCTTTCTGCTGGCATCACTGACAATGTTGACCGTTCTGGGATTCTGGAGTGTTTCTCGAAGGTACAGAAGTGTACGGTAAGATGCACAACTTCTGAGTCCACGAAACAGTGCTCTCTGGAAACCACCACCAGTGAGCCAGCAGGAGCCCTGTATGCTGTGACTGGACCCATTAGCATATTACAGAAATTTAAAGGATTATATAGAGCAAGAAATTTCATTTTAGTCTTCACTTTTCCATTGATCCTTGTAATAAAACAGTGTTTCACTCAATTCTAAAACATGTTATAAAACAAGAGTTTTTCCCCACTATTTAGCACCCTGTAGAATTGGAAATAACCATATTGATAATAAGAATGAATGCTTTTACCATTAAAAGCAAATAACATTAAACAAATACCTAGGAATCTAATGACTCGAGATTTGGATCCCATTCAGGCTTTTAAATCAACAATGACCATTTCAAGATCAATAGAAGGCTATACACGAATCCCTTAGCCGATCACCTGAGACCATTCAGTGGGAATATGTACTATCTACCAGTCATTCATCATTAGGCCTTATTGAGTTCTCTCTCCCTGCCACCCTCCCATTGACATATTCTAAGATGGCTGTGTACTTTGAGTAAACTGCCTATCCACCCTGAGCCTCTTTTTCCACATGTTTAAAAAATAAACAATAATCCGAGCCACTTATGGGGTTGGGGAAGAATTTTGAGAAAGTGCTAAGCACAATGGCTGCTGGGAGCTAAGCAGATTTTCATTTTCCTCTTTTTACTTCATTAATTTATGTATTTAGTCATAAATCATCCCACTCATTGTCACTTCTCCCTTGCCAAAAATCTTTCTTTTATGCTTCTAACAAATCCCTCTGGTACATCAGTCATTTGATAGGTAGTATAGGAAACCAGTTTACTACAAAGGAAGTCAGCAAATGCTCAGCTTCATCTGTGTTGCTTTTCTCATGGAGCTTACGGCCCAGTATGGGAGACACTTATACCCCATGCAAGGCAAAATGGATGACAAAATTAAAAACCTTAGTAGCTCCCTAAATTTGTATACTTCTTACCCTCCAAACTATCGGAAATCAAATTGATCCTCCACAATATACAATGTCTCTAAATGCCAGCTTCATTCTTAGTTTGAAAGGAAATTAAAGAATCAGAATGTCTTGTAGAAAAAGCCAACAAGAATTTCCTTAGCTTTATAAAAAAAAAAAAAAAAAAAAAAAACAGACAAAGCCGGGGATTTAGCTCAGTGGTTCCGGCGCCTGCCTCGCAAGTGCAAGGTCCCAAGTTCGATCCCCGGTGCCAAAAAAATTTTAAAAAACAAAAAAACCCCAATACATTCAGGAATGAAAACTGAAGCTGAAGACAAAGCAGTCTTCCCCTCCATCTACTGCATGCAAGCACAGAATTGGTGCCCATTTGCAAATTCGAAGAAATGTGTTGTGATGACTCATCTCAACTGCCAGTTTGACTGACCTGAGAGGCTATGAGATTAGTAAAGCCAACCTTGGACCAAAACTATAAACCAAGATAAACCTCTCCTCCTTTAAGCTGCAAGTATCAAGTATTCTGTCCCTACAACTGTGCTATCTCTTAGTTTATGTCTTTATCCTACTGTAAGGTTTGACCCTATCCTTCATGAAGTAGCTTAAAAGGCAGTCTCCAGAATCAGCACAGTTCAATTCAGTTCCACAGTGTATTGGCTCTATACACTTCAGCAACTGTTTAACGTTGCTAAGCCTCAGTTCACTCTTTCTTGAAAAGGAAACATTAAGAATAATACCTGGACCATATGTGTAAAGTCTCAAACACTTTAGTAATAATAATAATAATGGCCCTAGATGTGGCCTTCTGTTCTCCTTTCCTCCCTTTTACAATTCTTCTTCTAAAGTTATGCTGAGGTGTAACAAGAAGACACTAATTATGGGTTAAATTCAAGTAGAACTCGCACTGGAACTCGAATTTGTTAGCTCAGCCATTCAGCCATTCATTCATGCATTCAAACAAAATGCTAAGCATTAGTGCACGCACTAGCGGAACAAAGTTGAATCAAGCAAAATGCCAGGCTACATGGAACTAACACTGATGTTCAAATTAAACTATTCAAGTGTGAGTCTTTCTCTGTGATTGTTGAGCAAATGAGTCACTATAAACAAGTGAGAGACAGTGGTATGGGGTGCAGAGAAGAATAAAAATGTAAAAAGCATCAGAGTTTGGAGGAACCAAAGATAAGGGACTAAGTAGCCCAGGGGTTCCCAGCCCCAGGCCATAGAGCAGTACCCCTTTCTGGCCTATTAGAAACCAGGCCTCACAGCAGGAGATGAGCAGCAAGCTAGGGAAGCTTCAGCTGTGCTTCCAACCACTCCCAACACTCCTATCACCACCCAGCCCCACCTCCTGTCAGATCAGCAGCAGCCTTAGATTCTCATAGGAGCTTGAACTCTACTCTCAACTACACATGCAAGAGATGTGGATTGCACACTCTATATGAGAATCTAATCCTGAAACCACTCCCAACCCTGTCCACAAAGAAATTGTTGCCAGTTCTTGGTGTCAAAAAGCTCGAGGACCACTGATACAGGGTTTATTCAGAAATAAATCTAATTGTCCCCAAATCTTCTCCATCTCCTGTCTACTTTTTTTTTGTACATGCTTTTAGGGGGAAAAAGAGAAAGAAACAAAATGAAAAAGGAAAGAAATTAATTTTATGTATGTTGACCACCCTATTACCTTATGCAACATGTTATATACACACAATCTCAACCTACCTGTTACATAGATCTTATCACTGTATACAGAAGAAAGCTAAAGTGCAAAAGTAATTAATTAAATTAACCAAATTCACACAACTAGGATTCAAATTCAAATTTGGTCGTCTCCAAAGCCCATGCTCTTACACTGTGCTGCTTCTAAGAGCCAGGAAAGAGCCTTCTACTTACTTGCTCTGCGACAATCCTCAGCTATTTGAGAGAAAACTAGTCCCTTCGGTTAAAGTATCTACACTCATTACCACCTGTTGATCAGCAATCCCACAGGAAAAGAATGGATGTCACATATCAGAAGAGAAAATTTGCTTCCAAAGATTGAGTATCTAGAACCCACTCTATCAACACAAAGGCACACTTTGCCTTGGGGATCTACAGACCACTAGCACGGTATAGATCAGGTCAGAGAATTTAGGCCAGAGTCCTGTGGACCACAGGGAGTAAGTCTGCCTGTATTCAGGAATGCATGGTTCCAGCTTATTTTTATGCTAATTGTTATTGTCAAGTGCCAAGGAACAGTAAGTATGCAAAGAAACAGAAGAAAGCACTCATGTCCCAGAGATGGTATTATTGAAACATGTTCTTTATAAGTCAAATAGGATTTGATCTTAGTCCACATTCTGTCACAATCCAATTTTTGTCAAACCTAGATATTTTTTCACAGCCAAGATATTGTGGCAAAGTCTAAATTAGGGCGGGCTTGGCTATTCTTGTATCCAAGATTTTGAAGAAAGTGATGAAACAACACCCTTACTAATGTACAGGCAACATCAGTCTGTTGCTGCCCAAGGGCAGCAGATCCCTGAGTAATCTTAGTGTAATTGCTAGAACTGCATTAGTCATGTCAGGGTCGCTGGGACATCACCTCAAGTACAGTTAGGAATTATCCCTAAGTGCCAGACCAAACTTTCTTCATACATTAACAAACACCAGCAAAAAATCCCGCCTTTGACTCTAATGAAGTTCTCCTCAATCAAATCTGAAGTCATGCAATGGTGAGATGTCATACTCGCAGCTCTCCAATGTAAGTGCTAAAGAAGAAAGCAGATAAAATGTCTTTCCCTTGCTGAAAAGCTTAAGTAAATATATCTACAGTGTTTCATATACTTAGGTACCCCACACTGGTTATGAAAATAAAAAGAAATGATAGCTATTTCAGAGGGAAAGGCAAGAGAGGGTTGGTTTTTTATAACCACGGCACTGTCCCTCAAAGGTTGGGAAACACATCTTACAAAGTAGTTACCGCTGCCATTTATTTTTCCAAAGGTGTCAGTAATCGTCTACTCATAACCTCTAACAATTATGGAAAGCAACATAAATCAGAGACAAATGACTGGAGTTATTCAGGCAGTCTTCATTCTCTCCCAGTTACTTTTAGCAAAGAAGGCAAAATTGCCTTTCTGAAGCTTTCACAAGCCAAACATAGATGGCTGACCCCAGAGGCTTGCATCTGATAAAACTGTAAAATTGTATCAATCATATTCTTTTGTAGCTTCAACAAATATTTATTGAATATCTGCTGTACACCAGGCACTTATATAGACATTAGGAATACAGCAAGAAAAAAAAACAGTCTAAAATGCCTACCCTCCTGAGTCTTTCCCAAATATGTTTAAGAAAATAATTGTTTCTTTAGAATCAGTATATTATAATGGAAAAAAGCCAGGATTTGGAGTAACCAAGTTTTAGTTCCAAAGCCTGGCTCTACCAACTGCTATTTACCTGAACCCTAAGAAGGTTATTTAACTTTTGGAATTTCAATTTTCCAACCTGTGAAACTGGGATGATTCCATCTCACCCTAACATAGTGTCTGATAATTAAAAGACAAGGCAAGTTTTTCTTGGGTTGGGTGTGAAGGGTGAACATTCTAGAAATATAGTCATGGCCTCCTTCTTCAACAGTGGTCGTAGCACCAAATTGTCTCAGCACCAAATTTACAAACACCCAGTAAATCTGATAAGCCTCATGAGTACTGGCAACCATGAAATTTGTGAAGTCCTAGGGTTCCACATTCTCTAACTGTGGGCGTTGAGGAGTCACTGCAGGTTGTAAAAGAGCACCACCTAGAGCCTTGTATGTACTGAAACTCCTTTGTCCTATTTTAAAGAATGTTCTGGAGAGCAGGGCTCTTAAATAATCATCACTGTTGAGCCCATCATAAAAGGTAGACAAGCACAGGAAAAAGCAAATGATTTAGCAAGTCATCTACATCTGGTACTAAGAAAATCTTTTTCTTTCTCTCTTTCTTTCTTTCTTTAGATATTGTAATCTAAATCATTTTAATGCTCAGAACATCAGTGGAAGTAATCTTGAAGAAACACTTCTTCTCCATGAAAAATCTCTGAAATTTTATGGCAGTATACAGGAAATTTCTTCAAGTATTGATCTTTGGGAAACAGCCTTATGAAACTGTATTTGACCCTACCTGTCTTATGAGCACAATATTCATTGTTTTCTTCTTCAATTTAATATTTTATGCATTTTTAATAAGAATCAATATATAAAAGAGTGACTTTATGAATATAATCTGTGTATTTTATTAACAAAGATTAATTATGACCCCCCTAGCAAACTATTATGCTTTTGTACTAACATGTTATATATTAAATTAATAAAATAATTTCAATGTCTAGGTGATTATGTATACCGGTAATATTGTACAACTTTTGCAATGTTTCAACCATTGAAGACAACATAAAAAAGTTTTTTTAGAGTTTTGATAAGTCATTAGAAGGAAAGAAACACTATGCCAATACTCTTTACTATGGTAGATTTATTGAGCTTATGTTGCATCCTAAGCATTGTGACCATATGCTGTATACATATGAGTAAATATTAACAAGTAAATATGATTCTGCTATATTTGTTCTTGATGTTATATTATCAAGATATGACTTGATTAAGAAAATTTTCTCTGAAGTCTTAAGTATTACTACTAAAATAGAGGTCTTTAACAAATAATATTCACATTCTGATGAAATTGAAAAATCAATGTCAATGATGGATTTCTTGGGATTAAAGGAAAGAAGAATATTATGGCACGTCAAATGTGTACTGGGAGGAGAGTAAGTGACCAAGCAAACTAGAGATGCTTAGAGGGACCTGCAGGCTAACCCATATGACATCATTTAGTCTCCATGGCTACCAATTTAAATGTATTTTGAAAAATCATTTTCCTTTATAGGCCAAGAAATTTGTAAACTTGTTATTTTAATGAAATAAATCTAATGTCCTATATCTTTGTCACAACATTTATCAAAGTTTCATTTATGACCAGCCGCTTCAGGGGAATATTTCTTGCCCCCGTAAGGACTACTTTAACCCAAGTCTATCTGAATTGGGGTCCAGGAATTGGTGATTTTAGTTAGCAAGTCATTCTGATGTTCTGTAAAAGTTAAGAGCCAGTGCTTTCTAGGACAGTTCATGCTGGAGAGAGTAAGAAGATTTATCCCCTGATTGCAAATGATTGTGCAATTAGGCACCTTCCTTGTGTATACATAAAATATTTTAGATCTGTAAAATAAAAGATTTATTCAACTTGATTAGGTATGATATGCATTTTTAATTGCAAAAGTGCAGCTGTAAAGCACCAGGTGTTTCTTACTCAAACTGGTTTTTGTTTGCTTGTTTGTTGTGAGGACAAGTGAAAAGATGAACTCTCTTACAGGCACAAATTCTTCCCAGCAGCCTCTTCAAAGCCTTCTTTGTTTAGCATTTGTTCCTCCAACAAAATAGTGGGACAGACCCTGATATCCCTGGGAAGCCTTCCTTGCTATTAAAGGTCAAGTGCCGAGTTTGCAATTTGGGTTCATGAACCCCCCCAAAAATCAAGAAATCCTCGAACATATCATCTCAGTATGAATGTGAAGTTATAACAGTCTCTCTCACTATTAGAAATGGGACCTCCCTTATTTTCTTGCCCTCCACCCCTACACACCCTGTTGGTTTCATCTCTTTAAATTCTGGATTACAACAAAATAAAAGTGCTTCTTATGTTTTCATTATGTCTTTTGAGATGAAAGTTCTGCAGAATGATAAAGTTGACCCAAGGTGAACACCAAAAGAGCTTAGAATTCTCACCCTGGAGTTGCCACTTGTGATTAGCTAAATGGAAGAAACTACAAGTATCGGGAGCAATGCTACATAATTTTAGGGTAAAATCATTTGGTTAGCCTAATTCTCCTGCCTACAGCCCAGCTATGGCATTTCGAGACATAATTCCATTTTGGCCTCCGGTCACAACTGAGACCTCAATGATCCGGTGATGCTGTGATTCTCCAGGACAAGATTACACCAGCTGAAGACATCCTGGGAGGAACAAAATCTTCATCGACTCAGTTCCTCATTATTCTTGGATTGTTACATCTTGTTTACGTGGATGTACTGAACTCTCTGCAAGTCATTTGTTACATTTGTTTCTGCCGATGCGGTAAGCTGGGGGCTTTCGTCTTTGCTGCCCAGAGCAGCACTGATCAGACCCAAAGCTCAGCTTCTTCTCAAAGTCTCATTTTTCTACCTTTCCTGTAATTCACCTTGTGCTGCCTTGGCTCGGAGGAGACTAGGACCTACTGCAGAGGTTCTAGTAACGTCCCCTTTCCCTGTTCCCTACATGCAAGCACTGCCATTGGAACAGGATGCGTTCACACAGCAGTTGCTTCTCTAGTGCCTAGCAACATTATCATTGAGCACCTGGAATAGTTTAGGCATTAAGTGTAATTGGTTTTGCTTTACATAAATCTGTAGCTTTGTAAATAAGTGGAGCATTTCAGCTTCTATATAACACCAATTAACTTAAAGGGATGCGTTGTTTGCAGAAGCCTGCTGGGTTCCCTACTGTATTTCTCTGGTAACATGCTCAGTGACGACAAAGTTCTGTGCCCTGCAGCGTTCCATTTACTCCAGCCACTTCGTGCCAAGGGTCTATGCAGCCCCTCATTTGCTTCAGTTTTCAGTGGTGGTGAAAGGTTAGGAAAAGGCAGTCTTCCCTAAGAAGCATCCTCTCTGCCTTATTCTGTCCATGATTGAGACCTGAAAGGCAAGGTATTCGAAAATGTTTTCTACGGCCTGCAGAGCACAAGTCTGAGCCCATCAGATTCTGTCCGCAACTGACAGTAACATCTCTTTCCTCTTCCCTTTCTTCTTGTAATACTTCAATCCAGGGCAGCCAAAAGTCACTACACTGAGTCTGTATACAAAACTACAAAAAAAAACCATATATTCCTATTACTTGAATTTACAAGTGAAAATGATTCCATCACAGTGACTTTTCTTTAACAGCACACAATAATACCCAAAGATCTGTTCCTGGAAGGTGACAGATTGCTTTTTCCAAGCTCTTTGGATATTTCCCCATATTATCTCTTAATCCCTTATCTCTCATATCCCCTTCACGCAATCTTGATTTATAGTATTCATTCCACCCTGGCCAACCTCTAATTCTCTTGGTTTCCCAAAGTGTTTTATCAACAATCAGAGTAACAGTATCACCAAATAACAGCTCATGATTCTAAAACTTTCCTATTAATATTGTGCGATTTACAAATTGAAAGAGAGAGAATAATCACTTCTGAGAACTGCCAGGGTCCCTTGTTCTTTGAAAAGAAAGCCACTGCATTAGAACCCCAAATCAGCCAGCCAAGGGTCACAAAGCTCCTCCCCTGAGAGAGAAGCCAGCATACTATCACCACTCACTGGCTTATGAGGAAAGCTCTCAAATAGAATCAGCAGCCAAGTGATGACAGCACACAGGTGCTGCTAAAATTCAGGTTGGCTTGTAGAGAGCATTAAAGGAATCACTAATAATAACTCATATCTATGTCACCCATCACAGCTTACAAGTTGCTGTCACACACATATTATCACATTTGATTAGCACCCACTCACTAGGAAGTAGGCACATTTTAGCAGGCCCATTTGGTAAATGAGAAATTGTAATTCTGAGACATTAAGTGATTTGTCAAGAGTTACAGAGATATTCGGTGGGACAGACAAGACTTGAATCTTGGTGTGTCTATCTCTTAAGTATCAGCTCCTTCTACAAACGTCCATAATAACACCAATATTGGATCATCCCCAGTGGCTTCGGTGGGACACTCTCTACATCATCCCAAAGTGAACAAGAATGAGAAACAAAGGTCATGTCGAGATTAGAGGCATGGTTAGCAAAATATAAGCATTTTTCTAGCATCTCTTCTGTCTCACTGAGGCCACAGCATGGAGTCCCAGGATGTTCTGCTGTGTGTCTAAGGGCATTAGATGCACCCCACTGAAAGACTCATCCAGACTAACTCCATTGGGGGAAGGAATCTCAAGCTTAAAATATTCTTTCAGTCCTCCTTTCATCAAAATGGCCTCAATGTTTGGCAGTAGGTGCCAAACAACTTTAGAAAAAAGCAATTGGAGAGAAACAAATGTGTCCCAATATACACAGTAATTGTGAAGATTCTTATACTGCTTGCTAAGTACAAGACACCGCTCTGGTTTTTTATATATTAGCTCACTTATTCATCACAATAATCCTTGAAATACAACTGTTAACCCCATCTTACAAACAAGAAACCAAAGCACAAAAGAGTTGATAACATTTTGAAGGTTATACAAGTAATATGAAAATATGGATGGAGTCAAGATGTGGACCAAGGGAATCTGGCTACAAAATCCAGGTGCTAATCCTCTCTATGTAGAAATATATGTAATGACATTTATGCAAAAGCCAAGGCAACAGCTTTATGGTTCTACAAGGGATAAAAGATTGAGAAAAAATTCAATCAAGGCCCTCGATATAGCTGTTGTCTACAATAGGCTTTTATATATTCTCTGGGGAATTCCAAGAAGGGCAGTGCCTTAGCCCAATGGATTTCAATTCTTTTCTACCAAAATACGTAAGAATACGACTCAATCCATCACCAAATACTGAATGCTCAACACCCCTGCCCCTCCTACTCCCTTTGTAATAACAATCTCTTTTTTTCCTCCCCAAAGACATGACTCCAAGAGCAGAGTTTCAGACTCTGTGGCAGTAAGTGGGTACATTTATTTAAGAATTGTTGTATGGGCATTTTTCCAGTGTCCCACAAGTCACAATTTAAGCCATCTGTTCCTCACATAAAAGTCAAAGTTACATCAAGATGGGAACAGGAGGTCAAGCAGGCTGTTTGCTCAGCATTTACACAGACTTCCTGGGATCCCTCCAGCCCTGTTCTCCACTAAGTATAAAATTATCAAGGATAGTTATAGTGCCCCCCCTCAGGTCACCAAGGTCCTCTATATTAGAATGAATTCTAGTTGACAGCCAGGAACATTTCCCCAGATGACACACTGCCGCAAACCCACTCAGAGACTTTATTAACTATTAAATAATAATAGCATCCACATCCGTATCTATCATCCATCACAGACAGTTTTGCATTAACTGGCTGTGAGTCAGGTTTTTCTTTAAACCTGCTAA